TTAAATGTGTAAAGGATAACAACGCTTATGTAAATTGTCTAAGTATAAAGCATAAGGCAGGCGCTTGTTCTTCAAATACGAAATGGCGATCGTGTAACCAGCGACACCATACTTTGTTACATTTTGATAAAGTCTCGAATAACAATAACAATACTCGCGAAACCGCGCGCCCAAATAACGAATCACAAAATCTCACGAACCTAAGCCCGAGTATGACAATGGCGCCGGCTACACAGTCACTGTGTACAACGTCCGTCAGCAAGCCGCGTTATGATAGGCCGAGCGAACTGAGCGAACATTGCGTTGGACGATACCAGCGTCAGTGCAATGTTAACACAGTATTGCTTGCGACCGCTCAAGTGATTGTTCACGATGCACATGGTAAACCGTTTACTATTCGCTGTTTGCTAGACAGCGCCTCTCAAAGTAATTTCGTAACTTTTAATTGTTTGCAGCGTCTTAGACTCTCTAATAAATGTGAAAATTCACACATAATAATTAAAGGAATCGGTGGATCGGAAAAATCCGTTAAGGGTTCGATAAATATATAAGAATACATTCTCGTTTTAAAGGAGATATACATTTTGATGTTACCAATGCTTGTTGTCGATATTATGCCTTCCGCTCCTGTCGACTTAAGCGCGCTTTCGCACCTAACGACATTGCCGCTTGCGGACTCGGAGTTTGGAGTTCCAGGTTCCGTAGATATATTATTGGGTGCATCTATTTTTCCGCATTTGTTACTGCCTAATGTAATACCTAGCAGTAACCGTAATATACCTCCTGCAATTGAGACGGTACTCGGTTATGTGATTATGGGCTCAGTACCTACTTCACATATTTCCAAATATACCTCTTGTTGTTCCGTCGTTCAAGACCCCATGGATTCGCTTCTGAAGCGATTTTAGGAGCTAGAGGAGGTCACCGCGCCGCCCACTCTGAGTCAGTACGACCTTGAGTGTGAAGAACATTTTCGCGCTACTACTGTTCGTGACGACAGTGTTAGATATATAGTATCATTACCGTTTAATGATGACCCCTTCTCTTTGGGTGACTCATATAGCATAGCACTTAGGTTTTTTTATTGTTTAGAAAAAAAAGTTTAAGGCTTCTCCTGAGTTACGTACCGCATATAATGTGTTATTAAAATGTTATTCGAGAATATATAAATAAGGATTATTTGAGTCCGATCGATTTAAGTAAAGATGATACGACTCGTCCTACATACTTCATTCCCCATCATGGTGTAGTCCGCCATGACAAATCGACTACCAAATTAAGAGTGGTTTTGGACGCGAGTTCCAAGTCCACATCTGGAAAATCAATTAATGACATCCTGCATGCGGGTCCCAACTTACAAGGCGATTTATTTAATATAATAATTAATTTTCGATTATTTAAAATTGCATTATCTGCGGACAGGACAGGACAGACTGTAAACAGATGTTTATGCAAAGAGGCCTGTCGGAATATGACCGTGAATTTCATCGCATTTTGTATCGGTTCGATGTAAATAAACCAATACAAGCATACCGCTTCAACTGCGTATGCTTTGGCCTAAAGTCCAGTCCATATCATGCTTTGCGCGTAATTCAACAGCTTTTGACTGACGAAGGTGACAAATATCCCGCTGCAACGTCCGATGTCTCTTCCGCTCTGTATATGGATGATCTGGCCATAAGTGTGATGACATCATCCCAAGCGGTAGAGATTTCAAAAGAACTTATTCAGCTCTTCAAGCTAGGGCAATTCGATCTTGTCAAATGGACAAGTAATTATAACGATATTCTCACGCATATACCTGATGATCACAAGGCTCCACAGGAGGTAGAATTTGAGAAGTCTGTACCGCAAAAAATTCTTGGCTTGTATTGGGATCGGTCGAATGATTGCTTTTATTTTAAAGTCGTCAAACCAGAAGATAAATGTACTAAACGTGCAATTTTGTCAACGGTGGCTAGATTGTGGGATATAATGGGATTTGTGGCTCCATCCATTTTATACGCCAAACTCTTAATTAAAGAGCTTTGGTTATTGAAGTGTGACTGGGATGACACACCACCAAACCACGTGGTCTATGCGTGGAGTCACTTTTGTTCTGAGCTATCGGCACTCAATGGGCTTCAACTTCCTCGTCACCTTGGGGTGAAGGAGGGATGTCAAGTTCACCTCATCGGCTTCGCTGACGTTAGCGAGCGTGCTTATGGTGCGGTCGTATACATGCAAGTACATAGTGGTTCCGAATACTCAGTGCAACTCCTGTGCGCCAAGTCTAAAGTTGCACTGATAAAAACTATTTCAGCTGCAAGATTGGAACTCTGTGCGGCAGTGTTGTTAGCTAAATTGCTTCGTAAGGTCCTAGACAGAATATCTCCGCTTTATAATGTGAAAGACGTATTCGCCTTCAGCAATTCAAAGATCGTGCTTGCATGGATAAATTCCTCCCCGCATCATTGGCAGACTTTTGTCGCCAATCGTGTCGTAGCACTTACCGAGCTTATACCCGCTAATTGGTTCTATCACGTGGCAAGCTCTGAAAATCCAGCAGATTGCTTGTCACGTGGTCTTACTTCGGCTTGTCTTATGGAACACCATTTATGGTACAACGGTCCTCCATGGGCTTCTCGTAGTGTCCCTCTGAGTGGCCAATCAATATCTTTGATCGCAATAAGCCCATCGAAGATTTACCAGAACAAAGGTCCGCCGTGCTGGTACTTACTACAGACTTGCCTGAATCACCACTGTGTGAACTCATTCAACGCATATCATCGTGGCCCAAGTTATTGCGAATAATAGTGTACGTACATCGCTTTATGAAAAAACTTCCTATTTGTAAATTTATTTCGAGGTCCGACTTACAATTTGCCGAAAATAAGCTTATATGTCTCGTACAATATTTGCACTTCACTGAAGATTTGGAGAACTTAAAAAATAATAAGCCTTGTTCCACAGCGCTTGTTAAACTTAGACCTTTCATAGACAAAAATGGTATTATTCGGGTCGGAGGCCGACTCTCAAACTCTAACGAGCACTACAACTACAAATATCCATATATCCTACCTCGTCGCGACCGTGTTGTTGAATTGCTTATTGAATATTATCATAAGAAGCATTTACATGCGGGCCCAGAATTGCTTATGTCCTTACTTAGAAATAAATATTGGATACTCGCTGCTAGACGAATAATTCGTCACATTATACACAAGTGCAACACTTGTTTCAAATCTAAACCGCGTGCAATTTTACCGCTCATGTCTGATCTACCTAGTCAGCGTGTAAATCTAGCTGAAAAGGCTTTTACTCATGTGGGATGTGATTACGCAGGCCCATTGCAGTACACGCCTCTTCGTGGTCGTGGTATAAGAAGCCGCAAAGCATGACTTTGCGTTTTCACATGCTTGACAACCCGCGCTACACATATAGAGGCAGCAACAGATTTGAGTACCGTGTCATTTTTGGCCGCTTTGAAACGATTTCTTTCTCGTCGGGGGCCTATTAAATGCCTTTATACAGATAACGGGACGTGCTTCGTAGGCACGCATTCTTATTTACGAGATTTTTATAAATTTATCGATAAGGAGCTTAATCCTCGACTTCACGAGGAGCTGGCTGAAAATCACATTGAATGGAAATTTATACCACCCGCGTCTCCCCATTTCGGTGGATGTTGGGAGAGTATGATAAAGGTGATCAAGTCGCATCTCTTTAAAGTAATAGGTCAACAAATTCTTTCTTACGAAGAGCTCTTAACGGTTTTAACGCAAATTGAGGCACTCCTCAACTCACGTCCGTTGACGTCTATGAGTTGTGATCCTGCAGAACCATCTGCGCTCACGCCTGCTCATTTTCTAAACACATTTCCATTATGATTTCTTATATTTACGCGAACACTACACATTTAAATAAAACTAATTTTTTACATTTCCATTATCATCACTTCCAGGTTAGCCCACTGACTATACAAGCTTAATCCAACGACATTCTCTTTTAGACAGTCTCGTCCAGTCTTTCTGACAACGATGGCGTAGTGATTACTTGCATAAACTGCAGGTTAGGGCTAAATGGTATTCACCTGCGGCCCCCATACTCGTGGGGACTGTGGTAGTTATTATGACGGATAATGCACCGCCTCTATCTTGGCCCCTAGGAGTCGTGGAGAAGGTGCACCCTTCTAAAGACGGGATAGTCCGCGTTGTAACCGTTAAGACTGCTAAAGGCAGTTTCGTACGTCCGGTGGTACGTTTATGCCCCTTACCAAACCAATAATGACTGGCTTGATATTTAAATACATATTATATATTTTATTACTAATTTATAACGCAAACTGAAACTAAAATTAAATAATTGTTATATTTTATACGCATAGGCTTATGTTATAACCATACTTTCTCTAATATTTATTTGATTGTATCATGTATCATAGTCATAGAGATGATATTTATCTTACTTAGTTTATAACTATTCATTTTAAAGGCAACCCTTTATGGCCGGGGGGATGTTGGCGCCATCTAGTTTATTTTATATAATGCAATTTTTCTAAATTTACCCTCCTTTAAGTTCCTATATTTTCGGGCGCTCGTATCTCCTCACCTGCACGCTAGTATGTAATGAGAGAACGCTAAGAACAGTCACGCAAGTCGGTCAATTGAAGGAGAAGCAACCGCGCCGCATATAAATACTTTATAAGACAATCAAATTAGTGATTAGTGAAGTTTTGTGTCCGCAAAAGAGAGGAAGAAGCGTTAGGTCGTCTGTACTTGGTGAAACCTGCCTCCGGAGCGTGGAAGATCTACGAGGGCGGCGGTGACAAGGTAGGCGTGCAATTTATTTAACGAACGCCCTTTCTCTCAACCAGCATCCTTTTACAGTCCAGGATCGAAGACCACAAGCTTCGCTAGTTAAACTCTCTCTCCAAACCAAACATATTTTACAAAATATCAAACATTTCACACTGAATTTATTGGAATGGAATTGTTAATTTAATAATAACAAAGACTCACCAGTTTGTGTCAGCATAGTAATGGTGAAGATACAATGTGAACGAGAGGAGTGTGCATGCACTCCGGTAGCCGCGACTTGTAGGTTATGTTTTCCAGCCACCATAACATCGTAAGCCTCCTCCCCAGTTCTCACAAATACTTGTGTTGCTCCCTGAAATTAACAAATTGAAATATACAATCTGGGCAGTGAAAGAGAACCCATTTTCTAGTCTTTTCTCTCTTTCATCTAAGGGCACGTAATAGATAGAAATATAATCATTTCGTAAACACGAGAATATAAACTAGTGGAAACCTTCCGAATATTCTCTGAAGGATGCCTCTATGACTTGACACTGCTTCTCTTTGATGGTCAGGTTATTTAACACTAGCTGATACCCACTTCGTTGGGCGCTCGATAATAGATTATTGCGGAACCTATAAAAAAATATTTGATGGTACTATCGTAAAATCCATTCTTAGTGAGCGTCTATATTTCGAAATTTTATATTATTATTTTATACGTGGTAGAGCCATGCTGCAGCTATATTAGTTTATAGTTGTAGCACGAATGGGTCGGCTCGGCCGGGGAAGGACCACGCTCTCACAGAATACCAGCTTAACACTGCTGTGTTTTGTATGGTGAGTGTAGAGAACCGGAGACCCTTTTTACTGGAAAAGAGGCATTCCATCTTAGTCCTCACGGGTGACAACGCATCTGCATTTTGATTCCCAAACGAGGATAAATGTAGATGTCTATGGGCCAAGCAACCACTTACCATCAGGTGGACTGTGCTCGTTTGTTACCCTATCCAATAAAAAAAAATTGTAACTATATTAAATTTCATGTCAATCAGGTGTATAGTTTTAGAGATCTCGTGATGAGCGAGTCAGTCAGTCAGTGGTATTTCACTTATATATTGCATATCTTAAGCGAAAGCGCAAGGTATGATCTACTATCGCCTAAAAATTAAGATTCCAACGTTTTATCGAATAAATTCGTATCTAGCAATCATATTATACATATAAATGATATAAAAAGCACATTGTTAGAAAGATAAATGATTGTTGAACTTATTAATATTTTTTTTAAATCGATTAATTTTGGTAGCCTTGTATGTAAATTATTTCTGTAAATGGGAAGCTACAGCCACAGAGTAGTTTACTCACACTCAGTTTGGCGTCAATCGCCGTCGTGAGTGGACATTGATTCGGTTGTTTGCAGCGGCTCAAAAAGATCGCTGTATAAATACACAATATTCGAATAACCAAATTTCTTAAATACTTGATTATAATAATAATAAAGAGATTTTTTTATTACAATATTTTAAAAGCACAGAATAAATAACAGTAGTACGTACTAAAAGTAAGTAGTATCAATTTTTTTGTCATGGGTGACATTTTCATGGTTTTCGAGGGTGTTGAAACCGATAGGGTTGTCGAAATGTAAATCCAAGATGGCGGCCGCGGTAGGTATCAATTTTTTCATCAAGGGTGTCATTTTCATGGTTTTCGAGGGTGTTGAAGCCGATAGTGCTGTCGAATTGTAAATCCAAGGTGGCGGCTGCAATAGGTATAAATTTTTTCATCATGGATCATGGTTTTCGAGGGTGTTGAAGCTGATAGTGCTGTCGAAATGTAAATCCAAGATGGCGGCTGAATTAGGTACCAATTTTTTCATCATGGGTGTCATTTTCATAGTTTTCGAGGGTGTTGAAGCCGAAAGTGCTGTCGAAATGTTAATCCAAGATGGCGGCTGCAATAGATATCAACTTTTTCATCTTGGGTGTCATTTTCATAGTTTTCGAGGGTGTTGAAGCCGATAGCGCTGTCGAAATGTAAATCCAAGATGGCGGCTGCAATAGGTATCAATTTTTTCATCATGGGTGTCATTTTCATGGTTTTGAAGAGAGTTGAAGCCGATAGGGTTGTCGAAATGTAAATCCAAGATGGCGGCTGCAATAGATATCAATTTTTTCATCATGGGTGTCATTCTCATGGTTTTCGCGGGTGTTGAAGCCGATAGCGCTGTCGAAATGTAAATCCAAGATGGCGGCTGCAATAGGTATCAATTTTTTCATCATGGGTGTCATTTTCATGGTTTTGAAGAGAGTTGAAGCCGATACGGTTGTCGAAATGTAAATCCAAGATGGCGGCTGCAAAAGATATCAATTTTTTCATCATGGGTGTCATTCTCATGGTTTTCGCGGGTGTTGAAGCCGATAGTGCTGTCAAAATGTAAATCCAAGGTGGCGGCTGCAATGGGTATCAATTTTTTCATCATGGGTGTCATTTTCATGGGTTTCGAGGGTGTTGAAGCCGATAGTGTTGTCAAAATGTAAATCCAAGATGGCGGCTGAAGTAGGTACCACTTTTTTCATCATGGGTGTAATTTTCATGGTTTTCGAGGGTGTTAAAGCCGATAGTGCTGTCGAAATTAGTACCACGACCTCACAGAATACCGGCGTGAAGTGGAAGCTCTGCTTCCGCGTTTCGTCTGGTGAGTGCAGGTGACAGGAAGCCGAATTCCCCCCCCCCCCATCAACATGGTAGCGGAATTACTTCATAAACTACCCCCGGATGGTACCAGCACCCCTGGATAATCCCTCGCTGAACATCCACGACCATGCTATTCCACTCCTGAGCGTGGGTGCTTAGACTGCCCCGCGTATTCGCTCAACTCAATAACTGCTCGGGGCAAACTGAGCAACAAGACCAAGGCGACCCCTGCCACGCTATCCGTGAATTTCTGCAACATCAGGGGACTTCACTCGAACCTAAACGCCGTCCACTACGATCTCGAGACGGCGATGCCGGCCTTGCTCTTTCTGACCGAGACGCAGGTGTCTTCTCCGGCTGATACTTCGTATCTCTCCTACCCGGGGTACAAATTGGAGCACTCCTTTGTGCCTCGGGCTGGAGTTTGCATGTATGTCAGAGAGGACATTTGTTCTCGACGCCTCGGCAGTCTTGAAGTTTCGACCCTGTCCATCCTTTGGCTATGCGTAGACAGCGACGACCATCCGCGCGTCTACGTGTGCCTCTATAGGTCCCATAGCGGTAATGCCGAAACAGACAGACTCATCGACCACGTCCAAATCGCTAAAGATTGCATGCTACAACAGGTCCCATCCGCAGAGATCGTGATCCTTGGCGATTTTAACGCCCACCACGCCGAATGGCTCAGTTCACGACTGACCGATCATGCGGAGAGATCTGTTTATGACTTTGCCTTGGAATATGGTCTGACACAACTGGGTACATCGCCTACGCGGATTCCAGATGTTGAGGATCATACACCTTCCCTGTTGGACCTTCTGTTGACCTCTCATCCGGACGGATATCAAGTTTCCGTCGATGCCCCTCTAGGCTCTTCGGACCATTGTCTGATCCGGAGTGTGGTGCTACTCACGCTCCCCTCGCGGTTGCGTTCTGCAGGTTGCCGCCGTGTTTGGCATTACAGGTCGGCGGATTGGGACGGAATGCGGTCTTTCTTTGCTTCCTACCCATGGGGGCGGGTTTGCTTCTCGCCGCACGATCCCAGCGCTGTTGCTGACTCTGTCACTGATGTGGTGCTACAGGGAATGGAACTATTTATTCCATCATCTGTGGTACCCATCGGAGGCAGATCTCAGCCTTGGTTTGGTCGCTCCTGTAAGACTCTTTATTACGCAGTAAGCAGGAGTGTTACTAAGCCTGGGCTGCGGCTTCGGCGACTCGGGATGTAAACACCAGCATACTTAAAAAGAAGTATAACTTCGCCTCCAGGTCCTTCAAAAGAGTTATTGCCAAGGCAAAGTCAGAGCACATAGGCAGAATTGGCGAGAAACTAGTTCGCCTTCCTTCGGGAACCCGTGCATTCTGGTCTCTCGCCAAGGCTGTCCAAGGGAATTTCTGTAAGCCATCACTACCATCTCTGCACAGGGAGGACGACTCACTGGCCCACGACGCAAAAGAGAAAGCCGACCTTTTAGGCTCCCTTTTTGCGTCCAACTCGACTGTTGATGACGGGGGGAACACACCGCCGACCATCCCGCGATGTGAGTGCTCCATGCCGGATGTGCGGTTCTCACAGCGCTCGGTTCGTAAAGCACTCTTCTCCCTTGACATCCACAAGTCGAGTGGGCCTGACGGAATCCCCCCAATTGTGCTGAGGACGTGTGCTCCGGAGTTGGCACCGGTTCTAACGCGTCTTTTCCGGTACTCCTACTCCCTAGGCGTAGTCCCGAATCATGGAAGACAGCTTTTGTCCACCCGATCCCTAAAAACGGCGACCGCTCAGACCCGTCCAACTACAGGCCTATCGCCATCACCTCCTTGTTCTCCAAAATATTGAAATCCGTTATAAACTGCCACCTCATGCAGTACCTTGAGGATCACCAGCTGATTAGTGACCGCCAATACGGTTTTTGTCGGGGTCGATCAGCTGGTGATCTTCTGGTCTACTTAACTCATAGATGGGCGGAGGCAGTTGAGTCCAAGGGGGAGGCATTGGCCGTTAGTTTGGACATTGCGAAGGCCTTCGATCGGGTTTGGCACAAAGCGCTTCTTTCGAAGCTCCCTTCCTATGGGCTTCCCGAGAAATTGTGCAATTGGATCACCAGCTTTCTTGCAGATCGGAGCATCAAGGTCGTTGTAGACGGTGCATGCTCCGACTACAAGCCTATTAACGCTGGTGTTCCACAAGGCTGCGTGCTATCACCAACGCTGTTTCTTCTGCATATCAATGATATGTTGCAAGCCGGTAGCATTCATTGCTATGCGAATGACAGCACTGGTGATGCTCTATACACCGGCCGTGCCAATATTTCTTGGGAAAACGTCACCGAGTACCGGATCAAACTTGTGTCTGAAGTCGAGTCTTTGCTGGACAAAGTCTCGGATTGGGGGCGACTAAATCTAGTCCAGTTTAATCCTCAGAAGACACAAGTTTGCGCGTTTACCGCTAAAAAGAACCCCTTTGCCGTATCTCCTCAGTTTCAAGGTACTCCCCTTGTTGCCTCAGCCAGTATCGGAATCCTCGGCGTCGACATATCGAGTGACGTGCAGTTTCGTGGTCACTGGGAAGAGAAGGCCAAATTGGCCTCTAAAAAGCTTGGCGTGCTCAGCAGAGCGGGACAATATTTCATGCCGGCTCAACGCCTGCAACTTTACAAGGCGCAGGTTCGGCCTCAC